AGTATATAACTATAATGACCTAAGAATATATACAGACGGCTCATTTACCAGACATCCAGAAAGAAGTAGATTGGGACTGGGCTGAATTATAACAATTAAAGAGGGAGAACAGGTCGCAGAATTCCAAGCGGAAACACAAGACACTCCCTCTTCCACAAGAGCAAAGTTAATGGCCATACTGACAGCGGTCAGCACCATCAGCATAAACAAAACAATCACCATCTGCACAAACAGCCAGTCAGCGATCAACAGCACAAAAGAGATAACAAAACAGAAGAGAAACAAACGGAACAAAGCAAACCAGCCAAATCAAATTCTCAGCAACACAATCAAAGAACTAATAACAACCAAAAGACTCAGGGTAAGCTAGGAGAAAATAAAAAGTCACTTGGGTAACCCAGGCAACGAGAAGGCAGACCAGCTGGCCGCCACACGAGTTACAGACCCACCCAAACCCCACATAACAATAAACGAACAAAACTCCACTTCAACAACCATACTCAACAGATGGAATCAAAAACAATATGACATTGGAATCAAATCTCTCACAAAACAAATCCTCAGAAACAAATGGGCAAATAAATGGCAAACACTACGAAGGAATCAAGAATGGCTGGGCAAAACAAAATCAGGAGAAATTCACTGACCCCTGACCTTTGAGTTACTAATGCCAACGAGAATCACAACAACATTAACTAACATAGAAGACCATACGGACCGCTCTTTCAGAATCAAAACTTGGTTAGGAGAACTCCCCATAATGGAAAAGTTAAATGTAAGACACCCAGATATATACCTGAACAACATATGTAAAATTTGTAATCAATACATAGAAACAAACAATCACATCTTCCAATGTGGTACAATACCGATCAAGCTACAGGAAGAATACATCCAGGCTCTCATGGAAGAATGCGCAGCAAGAGCACAAGGCAAACAGACAGAACCCATCCAAACCAAATGGAAAAGGACATTAACAAAACAAGAACACAATAGGAAGGTACAAGCCAGGCATCAAATATCCTGGGAGGACATAGTCAAGGGAGTCATCACACATAGAATGATCCAAACAGCAGAAACCATAACAAAGGACAGATTCTAAGCAATTGAAGCAATTAAAAAGGCAACGTACAAGTTCTGGCAAGCCAAGTGAGAAGTCTGGAAACTCAGATGCGACATTACGATAATATGGGAAAAGAGTCAGAAGATTAACAAAAAACTCAAATGCCAGGTCAGACATACTAAAAACATAACAAGTAAACAAAGGAGTGTATTTCCAAGTCCAGACTCACCAACAACACAAGCAATCAGAAGTTTCGAAGCAGATCCAGAACCAGAATGGGTTCCAATAAACCTGGAAAAACATCACAAAAACAAATTCGGTGAATTGTATATAGAACTAACAAATATAATAACAGAGAATACACTAAAAAACAGTCACTTTCCCTTCTTCTTCTTCTCTATCAATATCAGTGCTAGTGGAGTTTTGACACGCTAGCACTTATCTCGGTGGACTGCAGCAAGTCACAGGATTTCTAGTAATAGAATACTGAGTCATAGTGTTTTTTTCCTTTCATAAACGTACAGACCCGCAATTAAATTTGTGTTAATCAACCTGTATCCATGAATAAATAAAAACTCAATGGCAAGACTTCGCCGGTTAAAAAAAAAAAAAAATAAAATAAATTTTTCTTAATTAGATATCTAAAAGATAACATTATAAAAATACAGTATAACATATCTTTTATTTATCAAATTACAAATTATAATTAAAATTTCAATAAATTTCAATATTATATTTGTTTTATATTTTAAAAATTTTTCATAAATATCTATCAAAAAAACATGATTATTTCTTAACTCAATATAAGTAATACTTAATTATTTAATAGTATTACCTCTTGAAGAATTAGTGTACAACTTTTATATTATTATTTAAGATAATAATATTATATAAAATTGAATTCAATCATCTTTAAAGGAGATTCAAATATAATTAATAAGTTACTATATATTGCTACTTCTATAATGGACAATACTTTTTAAATTTATATAAATGGATCCAAATTAGATTGATATAATAAACTATATATACATAAATATAGAATGAATTATTATTATACTCACAAAACAAGATATTTAATTTTAAGTCTAAGTAAACAAATATTCTTTATCTATAAAAACAGAAATTATAACAATTTATATAGTAATATCAATAATATTTATTCAATTTATTATCAATCTTTATATTGATAATCAAGTAACAATATTATATATTAGTTAATTTCTTAAATAAAAATCTGATCAAGTAATTTATAAAACAAAAACTAAAATTACTATTAAATATTTAAAATATATATATAACTAGCAATATTAAAATTTATCTATATAAAGTTCTTGTATACATAAAAATAAAATATAATAAAATAGCAGATTAACTAATCAAAATGGATTTTTTTAATAATAACATGTTCTCCAGCATTCTATAAATCAAAATATTAGTTTTTAATACTTCAAATATTACAATAATTCTAATATAAAATAATAATATAATAAATATTTTAACTAAAACAGTTTACCAAAAACTCTTATAAGTCAAAAGATCAATATAATAGAAATTATTAAACAAAACCTTTACTGATTTTGCAAATTAACACAAATATATATACTAGATAACAATTTTCAACAATATGTATTTCTTCAAAATCAATAATAATAATATATTAATAGAAAATTATAAATTAAAAAGTCTATAATCAATTTATGAAACAATAAACTATCCACCAAAATTAAACTTTACACAAAAAAATTTATACTCTATATAGATAACCTCTATCTCTAATACAATTAAATAGAAAATAATTATCATTTTATTTTTTATAATATAACACTATAGAATTTTATTGTACAAGTCAATACAATTATAACTGATATATGTAAAGAACATATCTGACTAGTAATTAAGAACAATTATATATAAATAATCAAATAATAAATATTATTAAAAATATTAGCAAAACTCAAACTCTTTATCAAAAAAATATTTTTCAAATTATTAATATCAATTATATATTAGATTACAATAGATTTTTCCAGTATATAAGGTATATTAAAAAAATAAATCACAAATAGAAAAAACTATTTTATTGTAAATAATAGAACCATTATAGTATTTTTCAATAATAAAAACAAATAATAGAAATTAATAAGAAATAGAAAAATAATACAAATATATAAGAAAAATCTAGTAAAATAATAGATAGATCAATAAAAAAGTCATCAAAGATAACTATATTAACTATTAATTAATATTTGAATAATTTTATTAAATATAATATAACTATTTTCTCTTTGTTTAATATAAAATTTAGTAATAGCTTTGTTTTATCAAGTTAATTTTTTTTTAGTTTGAAGTGATAACAAGCTATTTGATAGACCTTTGTTTTAAGAAGTTTAATAATATAAATAATATATAAAATACTTTGCATTTTCTTTTATAATTCCTATAATATATATTGCATATTATTTTATTAAAATTAATAAACAAGGCTAAGTCTGCAAAAAAAAAATTTTTTTTATCTAATTATAAATTAATAAATATATATAAATATATACAAAATTTTTATATAAAAATTTTTTGACTTTTAATTAATAAAGTCTAGTTAATTTTCAAATTAAAATTATTTCTTTTTTCTCTTTAAAATTCCTTATAATCAGAAATTTAATTTTTGAAAATCAAAAATAGTTAAATAATATCTTTAATTAATAATAATAAACAAGTTTTTATTTTTGAAACAAGTTATTGTACAAATTTTTTGTAATATAAGAAATTATTTTTTATTAGTTATACAGTATATGTTTTTTTAAAACACTTATATTAATGATTTTTTAAAAATTTTTGTTGATCTTAATTAAATTTTAAATAATATAATCTTATTGAAGACAATCAATTAACATAAAATACATTAATTGCATAAATATAAACAAGTTTTATCAACTATATTTACTGTATACATATCTGTATACATACTAATAATACTATTAATAATATTTCTTTTCTAACTATATACAGTATATTTTAATTAAATCGAAAATTATAAAAATAAAAATTTGATAAATAATAATAATATATTTTAAATATACTAAAATTCTTTTTTCTATTTCAAATGCTCCACATTGTATTTATCATACATGCAAAAAGTGCATTATTTCAAATTTTGGTCGATATGCGAAAGGCGTTATGTAAATTTTGATTCTAATTAGGATTCGGGCCGATAAAATAACGTTCAGATATACAGTATAACTTCGAACGAATTTTGGCCCGAATTAAGCTTGATTCGAGCCGAAATTTAAGATAACACTAGGGCGTAAATTATTACATACAGGGCTGGACAGGCGGACATTGCAATAGGCTATGCTCCGGACTAATAATGTAAAATATCAAGTTGGAAGAGTGGTCATCACCACACCTCCAACTGTATTTTATTATTTGAAAGTTACAAACCTAGCATATTGACCGACGCTAACCAGACTGACGGCATTGATACGATAAATATGAGCTTAACAGAAAATCGCTACTTCTGTATCAATTGTCACGAGTGCTTGTTCTGCACCTTTGAAGAAATGCTTTTAAATTATTATGGATGCTTCAAACTTTAGTTCGATTATAAATTAAAATAATTCGGTCGACAATTATGATTACAAGATAGACTCTTTGTAAACACGAAATCTATATAAATTTTAGCATGATCCCTATCTGTTAAAATCTTATTGGCTTAAATTGACTACAATAACTCAAAAAAATGGTGGTTTTGACAAGATTTTTATTAAGCAATCAAGTTTAATCCAAGCCTTCGATTTCAGTGTTTATGAATTTTGAAACTCGCAAAAAAAAAAAAAAAAAAATCCGAGACAATAGGCCTAAAGTTAGCTATCAGATATGCGCAGAGTTGAATCCTTGAGGTCGTTTCCTTTGAAGCGTTAAGAATCATTCATATTACTTATGTTGTGGTGATTGCTCGACTGTGAGGTACGTGCATTCGAAATGAATAGGATTTTTCTCGCAGAATTCCGGGTGGCTGCAATGTGACTAGGAACAAATTGGAGTCAGTTTCATTATCGGCAATAAATTTTATAAAGTTTACGTTTAGCTCACCCTTTTCTTTATGGTCACGCCCCCACTGTATGTCTGTAACATGTAATCGGCAGAGGCTAGATCCAAATTTAATGCAAAAATTTAAAACAAGCTATCTGACAAGGATTCAGAGATATCAGATATACGCACCAGCAATGGCGTAAAGATCCCTTGGGTGATCAACCGCACACCACCAAAGTGTACCCATTGCTGGGTTGTCGTTTTGAGGGCAGTCTACTGACTTGGACGCCAGCCACCACGCGGCAGCCGCAACGGTGCCTGGATTGAAAAACAACATGATTGGTGTCCTCATGCTGTATCATTGGTAAGTTCAGTCGCCAAAAATAATCATCCGTCGAATCGACTTTCCATAAAAATACACCATGTACCTAATTTCTATGAAGGCATAAGCTTCGGATAAAATTTTTACTTTCAACTCTTTGCTAATTCCTAAATTAGGAAAATTTTTAATTTCGAATTCATACCGCAAAAGTAGAATCATGATAAAATGCACATTCATACCTTTAATTTTGCTGCTGATTTCGAATAGATGCGTATAAGGAAGCTCTATATCAAAGCATGTGAGGTGTTGCGCTTCGAATATTGCACTTTCCGCGTTTCTTATGGCTCGAACCCAACGATCAATCTCCTATAAATGTATTGAAAAGAACACGTCGAAGGTCAGCTGCGTTTAAAATTTCTGTGTAAGCTAAGTAGATCAATTATTGATCACCTTTTCAGTAACAAGTCTTTGATCATGAAGTTTTATGAGACCGCACCATCCAGCAAGATCGAGAAGGTTTATCTTGGAAACCATACCGACCTTGGAGGCTAACAATAGCGCGGCCGCACCCACATCCTTTTTATTGATTAATTAAGAAATAAATATATAAGTCGCGTAAATTCGTTAAAGTTTCAATTCAAACAACTTATATTTACTTATGCTTACGAAAAAGTTGTACTGTTTAAGGCTCTTTATCATATAGAATCTATGAAACATCACGGTGGCAATCATCTTCGTTTCAATGTCACTAGTAAAATCATTGGTTATCAATTCACGTTCACGAAAGAGGTTCGATCATTGCATGTTTTCTGAAATAGTGAAAGCTACATTTTAAGCCGATCGGATAGCCTGTAGATGAATTCTACTCCCTTAGACCTCATAAAGATTTCCTCGGCGTATCCGAAATCATCCTTTCTAGAAGGGGTTCTCCTAAAGAAATATTGATGTGTGCAATAGCCAGGTTCCGTATAAAAGGCAAGATCGACGATTTTGATGTTTGTGGTCTATTATGTATAGTTCTTAGACTAATATCTATTTATAAAGAAAAAAAAACTAGAAACAACCTTGCGCGAATATCTATACTTACGGTTTTAGTCGCGTTACAGTCTTGGGAAGGTGCCATTTTTAAAGACCTTAGTGCTTAGAGAACTTCCTTTATGTGTTCTTTCGCGAGTTTAAATAAATGAACTCATAGGGTAGTATAGATTTTCCGAGTTATGCAAAGAGAAAATTGTCCACGAGGGATCGTGTTGAAGTGCGCACTCTCAATTTATATACGGTGTGTGCAGTAATCTTCGCAAAATTATTTAGCCAATCAAAATCGCCGAGTCAATTTATACTACGTATACTTGAACCTTTATTTCAAAATAATTATTCGAATCCCAGCCTATGGAACAATGAGCTATCTACCAGGGTCAAACTTTTTGCAAGAGCATCTAATCTCTATAAAACCAAAAGTGTCTAACTGTGAAAAGAATGAAACTTGCATCTGCCCTTTCATATGTCAAAGATAAAATTAGTAAATTAACTATAGTCTGTTACAATATGTTTATTATACTAATAATCAAGTTTATTATGATCTATCCATATAAATCGTGGCATGTCAGCAGTTTCTTATTTTTCATTGGATTGCTGTTAGGATATTCAAGTCTGTTTTGTCAAGGTTAAAGATTTTACTGATGTCTATCACTTCCTGGTTGTTATTGTTGATATTGATCTGCTAGAGGGTTTTGTCTATCTGTGGGGTTTCAGTAAGATCTTTCAATTCCTTAGTGATAGATTTTGGAAAGATTCTGCATATAGCATAGTTGTAAACCTATCCTTATTTTCCTGATCAATATGCATAACTGTTTTATCAGGATTTAAATCATGTTATTTTTTAATTACAAATATGTAGAATTCTGATAGTGTATCTTTTCCTTTATCCAAGATGCATCCTGTACATCTTTCTAGTAGTAACTGCTCTTCTACTCTTGTGTAGTATATGAAAACTATTGTATTGAAGCTGTTGTACATTTATTTTGACCTATAACTATTTTGTTCTGTTTGAGTGTAACTTCTCAATGTGATCTATAGATATTGATCTTTTCAATGGTCACCTTGATCAAATGTTAAAAAATTGTAAATCTCACCTTTTGCTTCAGTTTTGTATTCTGGCTATACTTGTAAGATTTCTATAAGATAAGATTCTTATATTATTTTGAGATATCTCTTTTTCTTACTTTGTTTATAATATTCAATTCTCTTTAATGCAATAACTATATTTCTGTGGAGTTAATAACTTGTTTGTCAAATATTATACTGTGTTTCTTTAGTGTTTATCTATATTGGTTATACAGTACATTGGTTTTGATATTATCTCTTCAATTGTATTATCTATTTTTCTTATCCTCTAAAAGATTGTGAACTTCAGATTGAATAGAATTAAAAGCTGTATTTCTTTAGTATTCAGAAAATGTTATGGTCTAATTCTATCCTTTTTTAAGAAAAAGTTAAGTAAGATACATTGTTACTATATTGGTTAATCAGAAAAGGTTCTATAAATTTTAGAATTCTATCCTAGATATTTGCCCCAACATTTCCTTATCTTCTATTCTTTTTAGCCAATTTCTTATATATAGTTACATTTATTTATCTCATATGTGATCTATATTGTATTTGACATAATTGTATAGAAGAGTATTAAGAAAAATATTGATAAAGCCATACTTGTGTTTGTATATTATTGAGTTTTTTCTATTAAAAGATTGTATATACTTTCAGATAATATTATATCATTAAGTAGATATTCTATGCTTGATATGAATATATGATTTATAATATATATTATTTATTTATCAGTAGTTATTCTTTATTCTATCTGTTTGCATATTTTCTTTACTTTTTTAGATATGAGCTGTTTTTAATAGCCTTTTTTTTTCAAGATGTCTAGTTATATATCTAGTATTCTTATCAAAGTGCTTAATTTGTTATCTTTTATGATTTTTTTTTTGCGAATAAGGTTTTAAACAAAGTCTTTAGATTGTTGCTGAGAATTATTAGATATAATTTTAAAGGATTAATATTAATATCATTAATGTTATAGAATTCTATAACTATGTTTAAGATCTTTTGTATATTCTTTGGGTTATTCATGAACTATGTTATACTATTTATATATGCACCAACTTTGATTTCTAAATATCTTTCATTATATGACTTGTAATATTTTCTTTAAACTTGATTATATATTTGTATTCTCTACTTAATATTACAATCTTTTTCAGAAAAGAATCCTAGAAGATTTGTTAGAAAAGGATTATAAAAGATATACCATAAAAAAGATGTGATTATATTCTTTTGATCAATATTATCTAGTACTTTGTAATATGAACTCAGACCATATATTGTTATGACTTTGTTTTCTCTTTTCCTAAGCAATACTTGTATGATGTTTATTGCTTTCTGTGATACCTTAATTAAGGATGAATCTCTAAAAAGGGAAACAGAAACAAAAGTCAAATATTTCTCACTAGCAGATATTAAAATTTTTAAATTAATAATTATAAAAAAAATATACACAATTGTTTTTTTTTTTTAACCCGCAATCAGGTCAGCATGGCGTGTCTTTATTGTATATATGCTAGGTATTTACAAATTGTTATGA